GACAGCGCAGGAGGGGAAGACCCTCTATGAGATGGATTGATTCGGTGACTGGGGTAATCGGGATGGGTGTGTCAGAGGCGGTGCGGTTGGCGCAGGATAGAGCAGGGTTTAGAGCTGTTGTGCCTAGGGTCGCTATGAGTCGGAAATGACTCGATGGCACATAACAACAACAACAACAACTATCCTTTGAAACATCTGCTCAAATATACATAAAATCTAAAATATAAATTTGACCAGCTAGCGTTCTGTCTCTGAGAAAGACTCCATTCTTGGAACAAAATGGCACAATTACCGAATAATGATCTTACATGTTTTCCATTCTTTTTAGTTTCAAGTCTTCAAAGTTGAAATAATTCTTTTAATCGCACCACAATGCAAACTGTGTTTTTATTTTGCTTTTCAAATACAGTACTTTAAATCTAAACAAACAAAAAAAACCAACTTGTGTCTTTCATGGAAACCTGAGTTTTCATTTGCTATCATTTCTCATCAGACTGAAGAAATAAATCCCAGTAGCATTTTATTTTTCCAGTGTATGTCTACTGGTGGCAAGTTTTCAAAATTTTCTTTTATCTAAAAATTCATTTCTCTCAACTTCAACCACCCCCATATGTACAATTCTTAACTTTGTTTTTGAAAGTTTTACACAAAAGCTATTTATTTGTTCATTTGTTTAGGGTTTTGATGTTGGAATTTTTTTTTTGTTTTTTAAGTTTTATGTTACCATTTTAATAATGCTACTGCAGTTCTTTAAATGATGTGGGAGACATAGCACTCCCTGACCTCAAAACCTATTACACAGCAGTAGTAATCCAAACAGCCTGCTACTGGTACAATGATAGGCACATAGATCAATGGAACATAATTGAGAACCCAAAAATGGACCCATCTATCTATGGTCAACTGATACTGGACATGGAAATCAAACCTAACAAATGGGGACATGACAACCTCTTCAACAAATGGTGCTAGCAAAATTGGACTTCCACCTGAAGAAAACTGAAACAGAATCCCCATTTCACACCACACACAAAAATCAACTCAAGGTGGATCAGAGACTTGGGAGTAAAACCCCAAACCATAAGAGATAAACTGGGATCAAGCTTAGAAGGCCTAGTCAATGGTGTAAAGAGACTGCCAAATAGAGCCAGAAACACACAATCTGAAAAGGATAAAAAATGATGAATTGGATCTTCTCAAGATTAATTCACTGTGTTCATCAAACACTTTTTCCAACAGGGTGAAAATAAAACCTACAGACTGGGAATAAACATTCGCTAGTATCATCTCAGACAAGAGTCTCGTAATGAAAGTTTGCAGAATACTTTTGAGCCTCCACAAGAAAAAGACTGATAACCCAGTTACAAAATGGGCAAAACACATGGAAAGAATTTTCACAGAGGAAGATATTTGACTGGCAGACACATGAAGAAATGCTCAAAATCACTGGCAATAAAAGAGCTGCAGATAAAAACCACAATGAGATACCATCTCACTCCAGTAGCAGTGGCAAAGTTTAACAGGACAGCAATTAATAAATGTTGGAGAGGATGTGGTGAGATAGGAACTCTTACACATTGTTGTTGGAACTGTAAAATGATGCAACCACTCTGGTAGGCAGTTTGGCGCTTCCTCCAAAAGCTGAACATAGAAAGTCCATATGACCCAGCTATTCCACTGCTTGGAATATACCCCAAGAAAATGAGAACTGAGGCACAAACAGAGATTTGTACATTCCAGCGCTGTTTACCATTGTAAGAACATGGAAACAGCCCAGATGTCCAACCACAATTGAATGGATTGCGAAGTTATGGTGTGTTCATACAATGGAATACTAAGCAGCATGCAGGAGCAATGATTTTGTAAATTATTACCTAACTTGGGAGGGACTGGAGAGCATTATGCTGAGTGAACTAACTCAGTCCCACAAGTACAGATATTATATAAAACCATGATTGTAGAATGAGTATGAGGATCCAAGGTGGGGGGAGAGTGGAAGCAGAGGGATGAGGATGTGCGGGGCTGGGGAGAAGATTCATCATGGGGCTGTAAAATTTGATGGGTGGGAGTGAGGGAAATTGGAAGAATCTGGTGTAAAAAACAATAAATTTGAATTCTGTAAATAAATTACTATATTAAAAAATCAGATAAATTTTTTTCTTGTAATTTCCCCTGCTTTTTTATTTACTAGAGAGTTGCCCATCTTATCTGACTTTCAACAGTTTGACTATAGATTGGAGTTTAACTGTGTTTGAATTTCTTTTTCTTGAAGATTTTATTGGAAAAAATTGGTTTTCATTGAGTTTGGGAGAATTTTTGTCATTATTTCTTAAAATACTTTTTTCACCCTCCACCTCATTCTATTTTATCTCCTCATATTTAAATTTCATTTATGTAGGATCTGTTCATAACAGGTCTCTGGGACTCTTATTTTTTAAAAATTAATTTTTTCTTAGTTATTTATTCTGAATTATTTATATCAGTCTACCTTCAAGTTCATTTACCCTTTTCTCTGTATGTTATAGTTAGCTTGTATCACCACAAGGTTGCTTTTTTTTATTGCTGAAATTAAAATGTTCAGTTTTCAGTTCTAGAATTTCCACTTGGTTGTTCTCAATTTTTCTTTCATCTGAGATTTCCCATTTGTCTACTGAGTTCATTGATACATGTTTTGTTTTACTTTATTGAAAACAGGTATACTATATACTTTCAAATCCTGAGATGTTCTGGTAGTGTTATGGCTAAGGTATTTGGCTGGTATCCAAAAATACAGTGGTTGGAACATTTTAATCTGCAGGAGAAAATTTTGGCAGGCTGCTTCCATAAAGATTTACAGCTTTGGAGACCATTAGTAGAAGTTCTACTCGGTCTTACCAAGTCAGGATGAGTTAGAATAAACTTAGTGTCAATGAGTTTAGTTTAGGTTTTCAAAAATCCTTATCTATTAGTCAGACTTTAAAGAATGTGACCTCGACCCACTTTTCTTTTTTGTATGCTGAATAATTTTGTGTTGCAGCTGGACTTTAACAAGACTAAATTGTCAGTATTCTGAATTCTGTTTTTTGGTTTTGTTTTTTTTTTCTGATGAGATATTGCATTGGAAGATCTTTTATTTTTCTGATTATAAAATGGAAACTCTGCCTTTCAGGGTACAGTTCTGGCTTTAATATAGATCTTTTGCTTCTAACTGAACTCTTTTGCATCTATTTCATCTGGGATCTGTCAGATGACAGAGTTTGGGAATCCTCTATCTGGCTCTTTTTCTCTTTTGAGATTTTTCAATCTCTTGCATTCAAATTTTCCTGGCTTTGGTTTTCTGATTCCCTGGGAGGAGAAAAAAAACACCCTGAGAATTTGTCCACATAAGCCCCAACAGGGCTAAACAGTAGTAGTTGTCCTGATCTAAACATCAAGGAGATGGATTAAAAAAAAATTTTTTTTTAAATTCTTTCCTTTCTGCCCTGCTCCAAGCAGGACATTAAGACATTTGACTAATAACCAAAGGCTGCTGGTTAGGGTCCTATCCTGGGACTTTCAATCTAGAGTTAATTTTAACCTAGTTTTCAACATAATAGTCTCTGAACTAGTGCATGTTTACACCCTTAACCCTCTCCGTTTTGTTTTCAATACATCATTAAAAGTTGTTAGTGGTGTCAGGTGCCATGAAGTGACCTACACCTTATAGCAACTTTAAACAACAGTTTAAGGTTCCAGTCCTTGGGAAACGACATCAATGCTGAGAGAAGTAGAAGGTCAGAGAAGAAAAGAAGATCCTCAACACGATGGATTGATACAGTGACTGTAGCAATGGGCTCAATTGCGTGTCTCAGGTTGTGAGGGTGGTGTAGGATGGGACAGGGTTTAGATCTGTTGTTCATAGAATTGCTGTCATAGAGGGAGCACTGTTGGTCTAGCGGATAGAAAGTTAGGCTACCAAGCCAAAAGTGAGTGATTTTAATCGGTGGCCCTCAGGCTTGATTTTAATAGTTTTGGCCAAACATTGTTTTAACACTGGTCTGTCCATTTGCTGTACAGAGGTAACTGGTGGTTGCTGTGATGCCAAACACCGTGACACTGATTTGTCAAATGTGATAACGGTAACCCATGGTGGAGAGTGTTTGGTGGAGCTCCCAGATTAAAACAGATTTAGAAGCAGGAGTGGCATCTACTTCTAAAATAGCTTACCTTGGGAAACTCTAAATTTAGAGAAACAAAGTTAGTTATACAAGTGTTCAGGTCTTTCATTCATAGGGTCATTATGAATCCTGTACGACTCGAAAGCACTTAACAACAACAACATGTACTGAAAAACGAATTGAAACTTTCCCTGATTTGATTTTACTTGATCAAAGAAATCCTGTGAAACTATGGCAAGAGCCTCCAATGTCTCCATTTCACTTACAGTAAACCCAATGTGCTTAAAATGTTCTACTCTGCCTGTCTGACACTTGTTCTTGGCTTCAAGGTCACATCTGATGCTGGTTTGCATCCTGCCTTTCTGACTACTTACTCAACAACTTGTATTTGCTCTTGCTACTCCAGTCCTGAATTGTGTGTCTACCTAAAAATAGGTCCTTGGCATCTGGTCTTTCATCTTTCCTTTTTCTTCTCTAGAGATCGCACCAGCTTTCATACTTTAAACGTATACTCTAGGTCCTCGAATGAGGCTTTTTCTGTTGCCCAAAAGAATTGGAGACGAGGACCCAGTTCTCATGGCAAAAAGCACTTCTGAACTATCGTTCACTTTAACAGAGTTGCCCAAAACACTGACTTAATTTTAGGGCCTTCTAAAAGCACAGTGAGCTTGAATCTTCGTTATCGGAAATGCAGAAAGGTAAAGCGAAACTAGATACCTTCCTAAAAGCTCTCTAGCTACCGTTTTTTTCTGACAGAGATCATGCTTTTCTCCCAAGTATTATCTTTGCCCTTCTGGGAAGAGTAGCAGCGGAGAAGCTGCGTGCGCCGGAAAGCGGAACCCGGAAGCGCTGGCTCCTGCTTCTGGCCGGGCGCGGGTGGCGGTGCACCGCGGCGCTCCACAAGGCTGGGCATGGAGGAGAGCGAAGATTCCGAGGCGACCCCAAGCTGCAGCGGCCTGAGCCGGGGACCCGTGCCCAGCGGAGGCGGCGCTGGCGGCTGCAACTTGTGGGCCCCCGAGGACGCCTGGATCGCTACCCACCCTAAGGTCAGGAGGCACCAGAGGAGCAGGGCGCCGGCCCGAGCCTCTAACTCGGGAAGAGACACACGCTTCCCCCCCCCCCCAGCTGCAGACCCTCTAGTCTCCCTGGCGGCCTGGGCTGCGAAGGCAAAACGCGCACCTCACCGTGCGGGCCCGGCGTGCACACTGCAGGCCACGAGCGACGGAAGTTTCCGTTTGTTTAACGTTGCCGCAAATGACGGCTACAGCCGTCCTGCACATTTTAATTACCAAAAAAAGGAACATCATTCGTTCGAAGTGTACTAATGCATTTATTTGTTAGTTACTCAATAATACATCGAACAAAAATGTGTTCCTAAACACGGTTGTCAATTTAAAAGTGTGCAGCAACGTGTTAAAAGAGTTGAACCATCGCTGTAAAATCTTCTCCACCCCGTTTACGAAAGTCATTCATAAACATAAGGCCAGATACTCTAAATTCTACCTCTGAATCTTGACTATAATAATCAGTAATATCTGTCTGAACTTTGCAGTCTAGGGCTTGCTCCTCCCCCCCCCCCAATATCATTTAAACTTTATTGTTATGGTGCACAACACTTTATGGGTGATGGAAAAGATAGCCGAGTACTTGGTGATAAACATTTTTATCTTTAATTATTTTTGTGTGTGTGTACTGGGTGATACACAAACACTTTGGTATTTAAGTCTTGAGCCCCAGAGTGGGTGCTTTTTTTTTTTTTTTTGTAGAAATGTTGTTATTGTTAGGTGCTTTGGAGTTGAGTATGACCCACAGCGACCCTATGAACCACGGATCTCAACCCTGCCCTTTGCAGGGCTATAGCTGTACTCACTCACTGTGTCTGTCTGGTTGAGGGTCTTGACAGAAAGAGAGATTCCTATTTACGATTTCTTGAAAAGTTTGAATATGTGCCTCCCCAAACCATAGCTACTCTTCTGTATTAGCCCTAACGAATTTAAGATAATTTCATGCTTGCTTTTGTTTTGTTGTGCCCAACGAATTAAGAGACATACACCAAAGGATTACAGGTGAGGTCCTTTATTAGCGTGGCACAGTGGGGCTCCCAGCAACGAGATAGGATCACCCACTTTTGGTTTCTGTCAGGAGGTTTTTATATTCTTGCTTGCCCTAGGCACTGGGCTAGTTGGTACAGCAATCTACTGTTGAAACCCTTCAAGGGCACAGAGATAGGCGGACAACAGCATTTTGCTGTTGAAACATATTAAGAGCACAGTAATACATGGAGTACAAAACATCTAAACACTAGCAGTTAATGATCTGGGAAGCAGACCGAAACAAAGCTTTAAGACTCAGGTAAAATTTCCCATGAAGGGGTTTAGTTACTTAAATGGAGTGCTTACTGAAACTGCGGAAAGAGTTCTTAAAAGAATATCTCATTAGCATTCAGTTAGAGGACACTTTATCCGACTGTCCAGTAGATTTTCCCAGGCTGTAAATTGCATCAGAGGCCATTGCCCATCTTTTTCTCAAAGCTGCTGGTGCATTTGAACCTCCTATGGATTACAAACTAGCCCTTCCTAAGAATTCATAAATAATTAAAAACAGTCAAGAAAAGGAAAAATAACCCCCTTTTCATGTTTTCTTGTATAATTTTCTCCTCTTGCTTGACTCTCAAATTTCCCCAACAAAAAATGTGAAAAACAATAACATAGATATGTTATCTAGTTCCATAAATCAAAAGCAGTCACATGTAGTGGCCGCACAGTAATTATGCATATGAGCTCAAAGGCAGACTGCCTGAGTTTGAATCCTGGTTTTATTATTTACTAGTTGGTTTTTAAAAATTTTATGCTGATTTATTAGTGGCATCGTGCCTTATTTTTTTCACCTGTAAAATCAGCATAATAATATTACTTACAGATTTGTAAAAAAATAAAATTAGTTAATATTTACAAGGCATAGTGGAACAAAGCATTATGTAGTCTTCTGCCCCATTACCATAATTCATTGTAAATCAGGTCTTTGTACTCCATAGGTTTTCATTATTTCATTTTCAGAAGTAAATTACTAGAGGCTTCATCTTAGTCTGCCTGGTCTGGAGCCTCCATTGAAATCTGTTTAGCGTCATGCGAGCCTCTATAGACAGGTGAATGATGACTCTGTATGAGGTAGATTAACCAGGAATCAAACCTGGACATTTTGCATGAAAGACAAGAATTCTACCAGTGAATGACCAATACCTCATGAAAAGCTCTGTATAAGTATTTAATAAATGAGAGCAGTAATAAATTTAAAAACCTTTATTTAGATCTACTTGTGCTATTCTACCAGTTTTCATACAATTTTTTCATTGAAGTTAATTGCCATGTCAGTTCAGATAATCAAATCAAATATTTTTCTGCTTGAAGGATCTAGTTGAGAAAGAAATGATATTAGGTGATTGCTTTTCTTTTTATGTACTTTTATTATTTGAAAATTACTGTTGTTTGTACCTTTTCAACCTGTATGCAGAGCAGATTATTCGAGAGGCTGGTCTCTATGAGGAGAAATGTGGTGTCAGGATTGGTGGAAGATCTATCAACAATCTGCATTATGCAGGTGACACAACCCTGCTTGCTGAAACTGAGGAGGACCTGAAGTGCTTGCTGCAGAGGGTCAAGGACTACAGCCTTCAGTATGGATAGAGGCTCAATATCAAGAAGACAGAGATTCTCACCACTGGAACAATTGGCAGCATCAGGATGGATGGTGAAGTGATTGAGATTGTTCACAGCTTCAGTTTACATGGCTCCACTCTTGGCAACCCTCTTGGCAACAGCAGCCAGGAAATTAAAAGACGTATTGTGACGGGAAAGTCTGCTGGTAGGGCCTCTTCAAAGTACTGAAGAGCAGTGGTGTCTCTCTGGAGACTTAAGGTGTGTCTGATACAGGCCATGGTCTTTGCAATAACTTTTTATGCATCAGAGAGTTGGACAATGACTATTGATACCTTTGAGCTGTGGTGCTGGAGAAGAGTATTGAATGTACCATGGACTGCTAAGAAACCAAACAGGTTCATCCTGGAGAGTGTTAAACCGGGCAGTTCCTTGGAGGCAAGGATTCTGAGGCTTCGTCTGACATACTTTGGACATGTTGTAAGGAGAGACCAGTCCTTGGAGAGGGACATCATGCTTAGGAGGGTGGAGCGACAGCACAGGAGGGGAGGGCCCTCTATGAGGTGGATTGATTCAGTGACTGGGTTAATTGGGATGGGAGTGTCAGAGACAGTGTGATTGGCACAGGACAGAGCAGAGTTTAGGGCTGTTGTACATAGGGTCGCTATGAGTCGCAAGGGACTTGACGGCGCATAACAACAACAACAACAACAACAACAACATGTGTTAGGTGCTGTTGAGTGTGACTCCTAGGTACCTTGTGAAAAACAGACCTGAACCCTGCCTTATCCTCTACCATCCTCATCATCTTTGAGATGCATGAGCCCATTGCTGCAGTCACTTTGTCAGTCCACATCTTTGAGGAATCTTCCTCTCCTTTGCTGACCCTCCATTTTTCTAAGCATAATGCCCCTTACCAAGGAATAGTCTCACCTAGCTCTGTGTCCTGAGTATCAGAGATGATGCTTTACCATCTTTGCCTCCAGGCAAAACTTTGCCTCCACTTTTTAGATCAAAAGCTTAATCTTGCTTGAATCCACAAGTAACACCGTTGGTACCACCAGTCAGGAAATAAGAAGACACAATGCACTGGGAAAATCTGCGGTTAGGGACCTCTCCAAAGTAGGAGTAATGATGTCAGTTTGAGGGCTAAGATGCGTCTGATTCAGGACATGTTCTTTCCAATCGCTTGCTATGCATCTGAGAGCTGGAGATTGAATAAGGATGACAGAAGAATTGATGCCTTTGAGCTGTAGTGTTGGAGAAGAGCACTGAACATCCTGTGGACAGTCTAAAGAACAAAGAGATATGTCTTGGAGAGGGTGCAGCTGGAGTGCCTTTTGGAGGCAAGAATGCTGAGGCTTTGCCCCACATACTTTGGTCATGTTGCTAGGAGGGCTATTCCTTGGAGAGGAATATGATGCTTTTAAGGGTGGAGGGTCAATGAAGGAGAGGAAAATCTTCAACCAGATGGATTGATGCTGTAACAGCCACAGTGGGCTTTTGTGTGTCAGGATGTTTGAGGATGGCACAGCATAGAACGGGGTTCAGATCTTTTGTTCATAGCATCACTATGAGTTGTATTCGACTCAAAGACACCTAATGACAGCAAATATTTTCATCTTGTTTGGATCAACACCCTTGGTACCAGCACTTAAGAAATCAGGAGGCATGTTGGACCAGGCAAGTCTGCTGTCTCTGACCTCTCCAAAATGCCAAAGAGCAGTGGTATCAGTTTGAAGACTAAGGTGTGCCTGATTAAGGCCATGATCTTCTCTGTCACCTGCTCTGCATCACAGAGCTGGACAATGAAGAAGGATGACAGGAGAAGAATTAATGCTTTTGACTTGTGGTGTTAGAGAAGAGTACTGAATATCCCATAGACTGCCAAAAGAACAAACAAATATGCCTTAGAAAAGGTGTAGCCAGAGTGCTCCTTGGAGGCAAACATAGTGACGTTTTCATCTTTCATAGTTTCATGAAGTTTCATAGTTCAGGCTAGCTGTTCATAGGGTCTTTATGAGGCGTACTCAACTCACCAGTACCTTTATAGCAACAGGAATTTTCATCTTCAAACATTATTATTACTATGTTTTGATGTCCTCAGTACTTTCTTGTGGATGAAATGAAAGCATTTAGCTTGGCCATCATGATCTTTCAACCTGACCGTGGTTATCTTTCCGGTGTCATTTTCATGCACATTGAGGCTAAGGAGGATAGCAAGTAACACTCTCCGTCTCCTGCTCCTGTGCTTTTTATGAAGCTGGTGGGTGAATGTGGCTTCAGATTGGTATCCATGCAAGTCTGCTAATTTGCCTCTGCCGTAGACCTGTTTTCCTAACCAGTCACTGATAGAGCTAGAGAACCTCAGGCTTCCTCTGTAGGGACAGACCCCAGAATGTATTTCACACATGATATTTCACACATGAACCAGCAAGTTCTAAAAAAAAACAAGAGCTAGTTTGCTGCTGCTTTTAAGATCCAGCAATTAAGTAATTCCCTTCTCTTGAGTGATAAGGGGTAGGGAGAAACCAGGAGTGGTATTCTAGCAGAGTTAACCCACATAGAAATGTGAGGCCAGGAAATAGAGACTAACATAACCCAGCAAAATCCCATTGGAATTTTTTTCCTACTGATTGCTTCTTTCTAGTGACTATGTGTGGTTTCTTTCTACCTTCCACAATTTGCCTGTCATAGTTCGATGGCTTGTGTGCTAAGATGGTGGTAGCTCTGCCACTGGTGTTTAAGATACCGGCAAAGCCACTCCTGGTGAACAGTTTTCAGTAGAGCTTTGAGACTAAAACAGTCTAGGAATAAAGATTGGTGATCTGCTTCTGATAATTAGCCAGTGGAAACCTGTGGATCACAACAGAAGATTGCCCTGTAGGGTAAGTGAAGATCAACTGCATGAGTAAAGATGCACAGAAATACACAGTGGCCACAACAATGCACTCTTTCATATCAATGATAGTGAAAGTGATGCAGGATTGGATGAAGTTCCATAATGTTATATATATAGTCTCCAGGAGTCATAACTGAATCCAAGGAAGTTAAAATATTTCTCTGCTTTGAGGGATTACATGCAGTTCTCCATTGACTAACTTACACCAGCCAGCCACCTTTCATCCCTTCCCTACCCTAAAGCTTTTCACCACTCAAGCCATCCATATAGAACTCCTTTGACCATTTGTGTTGTTTATACTTCGGGCATGTTGCTAGGAAGGGCTATTCTGTGGAATGGGACATGATGCTTGGAAGGATGGAGAGTTGGCAAGGGAGAGGAAGACCCTCAGTCAGGTGGATTGACATGGTGACTGCCACAGTGGACTCTAGTGTGTCAGAAAGTGTGAGGATGGTGCAGGATAGGACCGGGTTCAGGTCCACTATTCATAGGGTTGCAATGAGTCATACTCGACAACACCTGACAGCAGTAACAACATCCCTCTCACGTGACCTAATCAATTACTGTGATGTATTGTTATTTGCCTGATAATTACAACTATACATGCATTTACCTTAATAATTGTAAGATTCTCCATCTTATATTGCTTTGCAGCACCTTTGGTTCTAAAGGAGAAGTGTCTACATGTATACTCGGGATTTTCATCAGCTGAAATCTGATTTCATGGGGTGAGGTCTGGTTTATATATTGTTGATTGAAATGAAAAAAAAAATACTAAAAGATTCTTCCTTCTCTTTTTGACACATGTTTTCAGTACGTAGAGATGATGGAATTAGATGTAGGAGACGCTACCCAAGTTTATATAGCGTTCTTGGTTTACCTGGATCTCATGGAGAGTAAGTTTACATTCTTTTGTTACTGGGACAGGGATGAAGTTTGGGGAGTTGGTTTGCTATAGAACATTGGTGATACGTTATACTAAGTAGTTGTTATTAATAGCAATTACATAAATTGCTATTGATTTTATAATTTGATTTTGTAATTTACAAAGAGAATGAATGGGTAACAAAATACTAGGAAAGTAAAAAGGAAACATATTATGAATGATGTTTGCTCAGCTGAGTACGAGGCCAGAGCTTAAAATTTTGCTTTTTATTTTTGATAAACATTATTGTTCATACAATGCTGTTTTTTCAGGTAAAAGTTGGCATGAAGTAAACTGTGTAGGATTACCAGAACTCCAGCTCATCTGCCTTGTTGGTACTGAGATAGAAGGAGAGGGGTTGCAGACTATAGTGCCTACGCCCATCAGTGCATCCCTTAGCCATAACAGGTGAGCAAGTAATTGAGGTCTTTGTTTAAAAAGTTAGTTCATTTCTTGAGTGAAGTAGTCAACAAAACCAAACTCATTGCAGTCAAGTTGATTCCTGCTCAGGGTGACCCTCCATCCATTTCCCTAGACTATATATAAATCTTTATGGTAGACTGCCCTTCTTTCTTCCAAGGAGTGACTGATGATTATTACAGCTGTCTAGGAGGTTTTGTGATCAGTGACTGATATCCTTCCCACTTCATTCTTGTTTTTCAGAAGTGCTTTGCTTCTGTGGGGTTCTCTTTTCTCTCCAAATAAATTACCAGTTGCCTTTTCTATCTGTTTGAAAAAAGAATTTGATATCTGTATTAAGATCGCATTAAATGTGTAGATTGCCTTTGGTAGGAATTTTTATTTTTACTATTTTTAGTCTTCCTATTCGTGAACGGGGAATATTTTTTCATTTATTAGGTCTCTTATTGTTTCTAAAACTAAGCATCCGGATTAAGACAGACTAGAAAGGATTGGCCATCCACTTCTGAAATATAATAGGCCTTAATAAAACCCTATGAACACACATAGAGTAGATTAGCTGATATGGAAACCAAGGCTGAGCCCTCAAATTTTGGAACACAAAGGAGGACAAACAGTTGTAAGTAGACACTAATGAATGGAATGTGAGAAGCATGAACGTAGAAAAACTGGACATTGTTAAGGAAAAAAATGGAATGCATAAATATTGACATATTAGATATTAGTGAAATGAGATGAATTGGCACGGGACGTTTGAATCATACGATCATAGGATCTACTACACCAGAGATGGAAAGGTGTGAGGAAAAAGGGTTGCTTTCATAGTTAAAAAGGCCATTTCTAGATCCATATTGAAATACAATGTTGTGAGCAACAGGATAATATCTGTACACATACAAGGTAGACCTGTTAATACCATGATCATTCAAATTTATGCACCAACAACCGGAGCCAAAGAAGAGGAAATAGATGATTTCTATTAACTTTTGCAGTCAGAAATTGATTGAAAATGCAACCAAGATGCATTAATAATAATGGGTGACTGGAATGCAAAAGTTGGGAACCAGGAAGAAGGATCAGTAGTCAGAAAACATGGACTTGGTGACAGAAACGAGACTGGGGATAGAATGATAGAACTCTGCACAATCAGTGATTTATTCATAGGATATATCTTTTTATAAGAAACATAAATGCAGGCCATGTACATGGATATCCCCTGATGATATGCACAGGAATTAGATCAATTACATGTGTGGAAGGAATCGTTGGAGAAGTTCAATATCAGCAGTGAAAACTAGACCAGGTGCTGTTTATGGAACAGACCATCGGCTACTCTGATGCTAGTTCAAATTAAAACTAAAAAAGATTATATCCACAGGAATCAAAATTTCATCTTGAGTCTTTCCCTCCCTGAATTTAAAACAACATCTCAGGAATAGATATGAGGTCTTGGACCTTAATGAATAAATCCCAGATGAGCTGTGGGAAAATATGAAAAATATCCACAAAGAATGCAAAAGTTATTACAAAAAATGAGGAAGAAGAAAAGACCAAAATGGATGTCAGAAGAGACTCTGAATATTGCAGTAGATTGCTGAGAAGCCAAAGCAAAGGGAAGAAATCAAGAAGTTAAGGAGCTGAATAGAAGATTTCAAAGGGCAGTTCAGAAAGACAAAGAAAAGTACTATAATGAAATGTGCAAAGAACTGGAGTCCAGAAATCAAAAGGGCCAAATCATCTTGGCATTTCTTAAGCTGAAAGAAAGAAAGAACAAATTCAAGCCGTTAGTTTCAATACTTAAGGATGCTATGGGCAGAGTAGTGAATGATCCAGGAAACATCAAAAGAAGGTAAAAGGAGTGTACAGAATCACTGTACAAAAAAGAATTAGATGACACAGAAGAATTTCAGGAAACAATAAATGATCAAGAGGCAATGGTGATGGAGGAGGAAGTTTAGGCTCCTCTAAAGGACTTGGCCAAAATATAAAGCCCAGGAATTGATGGAATACCAATTGACATATTTCAACAAACATGCTACCCTGGCCGTGCTCACAAGGTCGTGCTAAGAAATCTGGAGGACAGCTACCTGGCCAACTGACTGAAAGAGATCCATATTTATTCCCATTCCAAAAAAAAGGTGACCCAGTAGAGAATAGAAATTATCAGACAATTTCACTAATATCACACACAAGCAAAATCCTACTGAAAATTATCCAAAAACAACTGGAACAGTACTTTCACAGGAAACTACCAGAAATACAAGCTGGATTTAGAAGAGATTGAGGCACTAGAGACATTTTCATCAGTGTCAGGTGGATCTTGGCAGAAGCAAAGAGTACTAGAGGAATTTCTGTGTCTCGTTGACTATGCAAAGGCATTTGACTATGTGGACCACAACATGAGGAGAATGAGAATCCCAGAACACTTGATTGTGCTCATGTGAAACCTATACTTGGACCAGGAAACAGTTCTCAGAACAGATCAAGGAAACATGCATTGTTCAAAATCAAGAAAGGAGTCAGGGATATGCCCTGTCTCTTTTCAATCTCTATACAGAACAGATCACTCAGGAGTTTGGGCCTTATGAGAAGTACCATGGCATCAGGATTGGAGGAAGACTCATCAACAACCTACATTATGTAGATGACACAACCAACCTTGCTGAAACTGAGGGGGGTGACTTGAAGTGTTTGCTGTAGAATGTCAAGGACTGTAGTCTTTGATATGAATTGAAGCTCAACATCAAGAAAACAAAGATTTTCACCACTGGGCCAATTGATAACACTGTGATAGATGGGAAAGAGATTGAGGTTGTTAGCAATTACAGCTTGCTCGGTAGGCTCCACAATTAACACACATGGCACAAGCAGTGAGGGAATCAAAAACAAATTGCACTGAGAAAATCTGCTGTCAGGGACCTCTCCCAGAGTACTGAGAAACAACGTCTGTCTGGAGACTAAGGTGTGCCTGATCCAGGCCATGGTCTTCGCAATTATTTGTTATGCATCAGAGAGCTGGACAGTGACTAAAGATGACAGAAGAAGAATTGATGCCTTTGAGTTGTAGTGTTGGAGAAGAGTCTTGAACACACCATGGACCACCAAGAAAATAAGTAGGTCTGTTTTGGAGAGGGTGAAACCAAACTCTCCTTGGAGGCTAGGATTTTGAAGCTTTGTCTTACATAGTTTGGGCACATGGCCAGGAGGGACTGGTCCTTGAAGAAGGGCATCGTGCTTGGAAGGGTGGAGGGGCAGTGCAGATGAGATGAGATGGATTGATAACAGTAATGGGCAATGGAGATGGGAGTGTTGGAGTCAGTGAGACTGACTCAGGACAGGCAGGCTTCAGAGCTGTTGTACATATGGTCATAGAGTCACTGTGAGTTGCAGGAAACTTGATGACACATAACAATAATTGTTTCTTGCAGTATTTTATAATTTTGGTTTGAGTGAAAATTTACAGAGCAAGCATTGATTGTTCAACCATTCATATGCCTTTTGTTTTACGACATTAATTATAATGCAATGCTGTCATCCTGGACGGAACCAACTCAGCTGGTCCTGCACTGAGTGTCGCAGGCTGGAAAGCACAAGGCAGTGCTTTCCACCTCCCTCCCCTGAAGTTGCTGAGGGATTCTAACTGCAAGAAAGGTGCAATCTTTAGGTCTGAAGCACAACTCCCTACAGGCTAGGCACTCGAGCTCCCTTCAACAGGAAAGGCTAGAGCAGGGTTTAGGGCTGTTGTACATAGGGTCATTATGAGTCGCAAATGACTCAATAGCACTTAACAACAACAACAATTTACCATTTTACCACTTTCACTCCGTGATGCTTTTTTCCAGTAATCCTTCTATCATGTCCTTTCCTGCTTTCTGAGTTTTATCCTTAGGCAAGTACTACCTCTTAGATCTTGATAGTTTTCTGAGTGAATACTTGCCCAGTGTTATTGTTCACATTATAGGCATGTCTGTTGTTTGGCTCATCTATAGGATTGATTTATATTGTTGAGCTTTTGTTCTAGACTTAATGGGCCATTCTTTTTTAGATTTTAGGTTTTTTAAAAAACAATTTTTATTAAATATAATTTTTTACATATATTGTGTTTCATTAATATTGTGCCTCACACATTCCTTCATTTAAATTGTGTTTTATACAATCATTTATGTACACTGTGTTTTATAAAATTAATCACCATTGGTTTATGCCTACTAGTACTCCCCCCCCACCATTTGCCTATACACATCTTGTTATCCTTCTATTTTTATAATAAAAGTTAAAAAAAAATAGTGGCAGTATTTGTCTTTATGAGAGTGAGTTATTTCACTCAGAATAATGCTCTCTGGACTCCTCCATGTTATATAGTGTTGTTGTATGCAGTCGATTTGAAACTGACCCATAACTGACCCTCCAGCAAATTTTCAGAGGCAGTTAATTGCTTAGGAGGAGATTGCCCATACTTCTCCCAGAGCAGGTGGTGAATTCAAACTGTGTGCCTTCAAGATCGCAGTGCAGTATCTTACCACTAAGCCACCAGAGCACCCTTGTCCCTCCTTAGTGCTGCATAATATTCCATTGTGTGAATATATCACAATTTCTCAATCCATTCGTTTGTTGATGGGTATGGGCTGCTTCGATTTTCTTGCTGTTGTAATAACAAGCTCTGAACATAGGTGTACAAATCTCCATTTTTGTCTCAATTCTATTTTCATTGGCATATGTTCCTAGTATACAGTAGCATACATAGGATCTCCATGTTCAGCTTTTTGAGGAAACTCCAAATTGCCTTCTAGAGTGACTGTACCATTCTACAGTTCCACCAGCAGTGCATGAGGTTTCCAGTCTCTCCACATTCTTCCCAACATTTATTGCTCATTGTCTTGTTAAACTTTGCTATACCACTGGAGTGAGATGATATCTCATTTTTTTAATTTGCATCTCTCTTATGGCCAGTGACTTTGAGTATTGACTCAGTGACTGGGATAATAGGG